GGAATCTCAATATTGTCTGAATTTCTTAAATTATATGATATATTTGAACCTTCAGTGGTTGGTACAATGTCTTTAAGGTAAGCTGGGGCAATATTACTTTGTATTTTGTAGAACAAACATAGCTTGCGTTTCCTTCTTCGTTCTATTAACGTTTCCCATCCTGTTTCATAATACAGATGTGTGTGCGAATTATACTTTGGGAGCCCAGTAACTACTCTGGCAGCTTCTAGTTGGAGATTTTCTAACTGAGTTGATGATTCTATATTACACCCATCCCACACTTCACACGCATATTCGTAATGGGGTCTTATGAAGATTGTATATACTTTATTTAGTGTATTTCTGTTCAATATGAATTTTAATTTTCTCATTGAATTTATCATTTTTGATGTTGACTTAATTATGTTATCTACGTGACAGGACCATTTTCCGTTTGATGCAAACGTTATACCCAAATGTTTATGATTTTGAACATTCTTAACTTTACATTCATCAAAGTACAAGGTAATGAGGTCTGTTTCATCTTTTAAGGAAAATATAACCGCTTCTGTTTTATCTGGGTTGTATTTAATTAACCAGCGTTTTGCCCAGTTACACAGCTTGCTCAGATTTAAATTTAGAGTTGATTCAACAAGTTGATTGTCTGGTGAAGAAAAGCCGAGTGCTGTATTGTCAGCAAGGAGTATTGTTATGCAATCTAATTCATCAGCAATGTCGTTAACAAACACAATGAATAAAAAGGGACCTAACACCGACCCCTGTGGAACGCCAGCCTTCAAAATCCTTGGCTTGGATAGAGCCCCGCTTACAAACACTGATTGAGTACGATTGCTTATGTAACTGGACAGCCATTCCCTTTTATACCATACATTTCTAATTTGTACGTAAGCCCTCTATGCCAGACACGATCAAATGCTTTTGACACATCGCAGTGTAGCGAGAGGGCTAGCTGGGTTTGACGCCGATTTGATCAGTAGTCAGTTTTACAACGGCTTGTCATCTTAATGTTTGTGAGAGTTGGAATCACTCAGTTTGGGCCTGAAAACATTAAAAATAATGTTAAATGTTTAATAAATAATTTATCTGTGTATGTCAAGATTGTCCGGGCTTTAACGGAAGAGTTAAAGGTTTATGTCTGGTGACCTAAGAATATTCAAATTCAGTTAAATTTTTGCAGAAAATTCTTTTAATGGCTTTTCGCAGAGCCGACCTGTTAACAAAGATTGAGAAGGGGTGCCACAAGAATCCAATGTGGTCTCATTCGCTCTCAGACTTGACTAGGGCGTCAACCGTGGAAGCCATATACTTTAACATTAATAGTCGTGGTGCTACACCTCTCTGTTATATCTTCGTAGCTTGAAACATTGTATTTTTATCTCAAGGTGGCGTCCGAGGTTGAATCTGTCGCCAATACCCAGTTCTTGTCATAATATGGTGAATCAGGTGGTCACTGTGGGTCACCTGGTTCATGAATGTCAAGGTCGTGGATCGTTATAAAAAAAAGCGATAAAATCATAAAAAATATCTTAAATAGTAATATCCACGACTGTATCATAGGAGTAGTGTTCTCGAAAAGGTGAGCGTATCCTGACACCCGTCATTAACACCTGAAAAACACGGGAACATATGGCAACAGTCCAAACAGGCCATTACATCGGACATCAGGTTTTCTCAGTGATGGGTCAAGTTTAAAAATGCCCTCCACATGTCTACTATAAATTGTTTTGAAATCTTTACAAAGGCGTTGAATGTTGTAACCCTGATGAAACAGTGGCTGGATCTTCTGGAATATTAATCGACATAAAGTTGACAGTTGGTCATTCAGACTTGTGGACTTTTTTTAGTACTGGTCTACAATTGATTGTCACCTACAACAGCAAACAAAACTAACAATTGCATGTGTTGCAAACATGACGTAAATGTATGATATACAAACGATCTTCGTCAAGTATACTCTCCAGAATCACTTCTCTCCAAAGATCCCCACTTCTTGTAATGAATGCCATGATGTTTACCATACCTCATTCTACACGCCATAAGATTTATTGCTTACATTCAAGTATGCATACATTACACCGAAATGTGATATAGCATAAGAGCGTAGAGTTCATGATGCTAGCCATGACGTCACTAGCTGACTTTTAACAAGGCCCGATTCCCTGAGCTGATATTTCCGCTAAAATTCTTGTTTCTTAGGAAACAAACCCTTCATAAATACCCATGTGATGATCGTTATGTGATATCTTCGTGTAATCTTCTAAACACCCCATCTTGCATATTAACATTTCATTTCTGAAACAGCGGGAAATATTATTGCGGTTTCTTTTTCTCTTCTCTGGCGCACTGCCAATATCCTTTGTCTTATTGTTTAAATGTTATGTATATACTAATAACTGTATATTCCATTGCAATATGCAAACGCATGTGTAGGACATGTATGTTTCATTTCATTAACAAAACTTAATTATCTTATGATATTAGATTTAATTTAGAAGGAGGTTAAAGGTTTTTTTTCTTGTTTGTCGCAATAGATAAGGATTGGTAAGGGCATTTTGGCTTTCTAGAAATGACACATTTTATAAATGAAAGATTAAAATATTTTTTTGAAATTAGTAAGTATGAATTTCAAAAATTAGTTAAAAAAAGTACGATTTATCGAACGTCGAGGGTTATTGACACAGCATGAGTGTTTCACTGTATGTTTCATCCGTCTTTACCAACATGAACGTGTGTAAAACATCTTGTTTATGCTAAAAAGAAAACAAATATCCTCCCAAACTCTGAATTCTGTTATCCCTTTTCCATTTGTAATAGGAATAAAATCATATTTTGAAATATGACCACCCTTAGGTTACTTTGATTTAAAAAACCAACGCATCAACTTTTAAAAGACTTCGTTTTATTGTTTACAATAACTTTCGTTCCTGCCGATATGACCAGAGCTCCGCGTAGGGTCAAAATGTGAAGGGATATATTGGTGCCCTCGTCGTCTCAGGCGCCGTAATTCGCTGTTCGGAGTTCGCCGAACCGTGTTCGTGGGTTCGAATCCTAGATTCGTTCTGATCACGATCCTCGGTGTGTCGGCACCACACCTGTTTAAACAACATGGTTAACAACTGTCTCATTCTGTGTTGTCCTCAAATAAGCTGACACGTCGTGATATAATTGAGGTATACTTTACAGTGGATGTATCAAATACCATGACAACCCGTCACTGCTGCATTCTCACGCAAGGGCTTTCTCGTCGCGAAGGTCGTTTCAAATGAATACCTGTTGTCTTGACAGCGTGTTGAGATCTACTCGGTGATCTAGGCCAAACGTGTGCACTGTGTATGTATATTTCGGATGGCTACCTGGTGGCGATGTTGATTAGAATATGTCAATCAAACAGCAACAATGGGAGTATAATGCAGATAATGTGTAGAGATCTTGTTGCTGACTGGTGGCAGTGAATACTAATGACCCTGTCACACTACAACGTAAAGCAGTAATGTATGGCGACGTATGAGAATTTTTGCCAAAATTCCGGCAACGCTGAAAAACGCTATGGATCAATTAGGTTTAAGTTGTATACGTTAATTAGGTTGTATGTGATAATAGCAATATAGAGATTGTTCCACTTCATGCTGATCTGGGAGTGGGTTAAAAGCACGCTGGTATACGTTGTAGTACACCGAGACTTAAAAACATTTTTGTGCATGCTCTAAATTTTCGGCGTATGGGAACGTATGAAGGTATGAATTATACGTTAGGCATACGTTAGAGGTACGCTCTACATACGTTTACATACGCCAGATATACGTTACCCATATACTGAGGCACCTTTCCCCTACGCTTAGCGTACTAGTCATACGTTACTCATACGCTGGGCATACGCTGGCCATACGTTGAACACGCCAGACACACGCAGGCAATACGCTTTTATACGCTGTCATAAGTTGTGTATAAGTCAGTGACACGCTACTAATACGCTAGACATGCGTTAAATAAACGGTAAACTCTCGTTATGTATACGCTATGGATACGCCAAAATCATGGTTTTTCGATGAAAGCTCGACGTATGACAGACTGCTAACTGTCTGTTACACGCTAGGTACAAGTTACTCTAAAACGTTGTAGTGTGACAGTCTGCTAACTGTCTGTTACACGCTAGGTAAAAGTTACTCTAAAAACGTTGTAGTGTGACAGTCTGCTAACTGTCTGTTACACGCTAGGTACAAGTTACTCTAAAACGTTGTAGTGTGACAGGGCCATGACTGTGACATCCGTCCAATAGCTCTCCTCTGTTGGCTTACCATTGATAGTGTGAAGCAAGGCGGAGGTCTGTCATTGGGATGGATTGTTTTAAGTGGTTATTTCCCCCAAGGGTATTCAAACGGTGGTCGAAAAAACATGTAAAAATATATTTTAAAATTCTACCTCTTACAACTTTTGTCGGTCGGGGCAAATAGAAAAATAAAACAATATTAATAAATCATTTATCGATTTATTAAGTCTTAGGATTGGATACAAGTCATATACATGGTTACTGACAGGATGTTGTACAGCATTGTTCAATATATTGATATACTTAGCATATCAATTGGTTACAACTGAACAAGTCTAATGCAGTTTACGAAAGGAAGCTTAAAAATTGAATATTAATACTGTTGTTAAAATGTAAACATGTACAACGATAGCATTCTTTTCTTTGAAATAATTACTGATTTAGCCGTCTCTTTAATAGATTAGATGATGACAATGTATTAACTGATTCTTCTTCCGTTCTCCCTCTCGTCTTGAATAATTGTTTGTTTGTTTGTTTGTTTAACGCAGAACTGTGCAATAGTCCATCTCTATGATGGCCGTCTGTACATAATCAAGTCTGGACCAAACAATCCCATGATTGACATCATGAGCATCGACCCACGAATCGTATACGATGACTTGCATCAACCAAGTCAGCGAGCCTGAGTACCCGATCCGTTAGTCCCCTCTCACGCCAAGCATGGCTTGCTGATGACCTATTATAACCCGGATCTTCACAGGGTGAGGTGAGGTGAAATTGGGTTTAACGTCGCGTCCAAGATTATTGCACTTATATAAGCGACGTGTCACAGGGTGATGTTTGTTTGATTACTGAAACTAGTTAATGGGCTGTTCTCGGGCTGACAAACCGTGGGGTAACTGGAGATAAAGAACGACCGTAAATCCAAAACCACTCCTTGCTCGTTGATTTGCTTGTACTGTTAGATAGTCAAAAACGTGTATCTGCACACAAACAGTAAATGACAAATAAAATATAATCTCTTAAACTGTGAAGCATAAAAAACACAAATAATCACTTATTTAAAATCTTAACATGTTTCCATATCAAGATCTAAAATATTATCTATCAAAATAATCCCTCTGGTTTCCAAACCTATTCCAAGCACATCCGTTAGGTCTCAACGCTGTCAGGGGAAATATGTCTCATTGATTTATAAAACACATCTTCCAAGATCCTGGCCTTTTGCAGGAAGGTGAAATGAGATCGATGTATATATATTAAGTCCATCAGTCCAGAGGCTTCTTCCTGGTATATTAGGAACAGCTGGAGACATTGATTGATTGACAGGTGCGTGACAGTCCATTGGGAGTTAATTTCACGAGACAAAGCCAGTAAATCCCGCAGCCGTGCACGCAGACGGGATCTGCATCCGCCTTCCACCCACATCCGGAAATGCTCAGATCTTCAGACTTGCGCAGTGGCGTCATAACGTAACCGAGTGACTGCCCAACTATAATAGGACAATACGATATGTTTGATGTTGAATATAGGTCACACGGTCATGGGGTGTCGCTAAATTGAGAGGGAAATGCTTGAAGGAGTCAGTTTGTATTAATATCAGTGCCGTAGCCAGCCGGGGTACAGCGCCCAACCCCCCTTGATTTTTCATAGAAACACTTTTATTTGAATTAAGTTGGGGACAAGTGATACTTGTACAAATATTTGCCGTTAACTACGGCCTTAAATATATATTAATCATGATAAGGCCACGTGCAAGGTTCTGGACTCGATCTCTGGTAGGCACAATAAAAGCGCACGACGTTAATTTCCTGGTCAGAAGATAAGGTTGCATTAAAACTGTATTGAGTCTGCATCTCATCCTACCGGTTACCCATATGTTAATAACTTCCTTTTTCTTCAGTCATTAGGTTCTATACCAGTAATGACAATTGGATATTCTCGCTGTCAAGTGTTACGTGTCTTAGGCGTGCCAGGAACCCTTCATCATCGGTTCGAATCCCAGATTGGCCCTGATTATTTTTCTAGGGTTATCAGCCACACAGAATCTACAATAGTGTTCAAAACTCACCCGAGTTGTCAATTTAGCTTAGATATTTGCCCCGCCTTGCAGATCTCCTATAAGACAGATGTTGTTGTACAGGCCAGCCGAATCCTAGCTGAAACGTAAGGCACAAAGTGTGATAGACTTGCATTAAAGTACTGGCGCTTAGTCAGCACTCGAAGAATACTTCTATATGGTTTGAATTTTTTTAATCCAATTTGATTTAAAATTTCTAAAAATAATAGAAGAACATTTCGCAAAATGCATTAATAATGCTGATGGGTATCTTAGACACCTTAGCTTTAAAAATCAATAAAGTTGCTTTTTTTCTACATAAATATACATTTAAAACATGGTAGGGGCTATTTAGTTGCATTTCTGACCCCGATTTTCTTTGAACCAAATTATTTTCTATTTTAAAATTACCTTGCCGTAGATTACTTTTTGCAAAGTGTTGCATAAATGAGTGACGGTCAAATAGACATGATCAAATGTATAGCTCCTTCAATTTTCAATTACATAAAAACAGCAACTCGAAAAACGTATTTGTGCCCCTCAGTCTAAATTCCCATGCTATTCGATTTATTGATCACACGTAATCAGCCAGGTATTATGGGTCAATAAAATATGTTTTCACAAGTCGACCATGCTCATTTTACACCAAGCATTCGAACCCCGTTATCTCGAACCTAACACGGAACGTATTGTAACGTCGAGATATCCGGACAGTCGAGATAACGAGGCATGAACATCTGGCCAGATCATGTAACAGTATTATTGATGCATGTATGTATGTATGTATGTATGTATGTATGTATGTATGTATGTATGTATGTATGTATGTATGTATGAATGCATGCATGCATGCATGTATGTATGTATGTATGTATGTATGTATGTATGTATGTATGTATGTATGTATGTATGCATGCATGTATGTGTGTATGCATGCATGCATGCATGTATGTATGTATGTATGTATGTATGTATGTATGTATGTATGTATGTATGTATGTATGTATGTATGTATGTATGTATGCACAACAAATTAAGAACACAGCATGTATATGCGGTGACAGCTTACATTCGCCGAATAATAACAATTGTGGCAATTTATGTAAATTATGTACCTTATCAGTCATGTCAGCAATCACTATTTCGTCTCTCCTCTTGACGAAAACAACTACGTGCTACTCTTCTCTTGATACGTGCTATCAAACGACGAACTAGTGTCACGTTCACCGTGACATTGTAATCATGATTTACCTCTTTAAATATGCATGCCTCGTCCAATAAGACAATCTAAAGTGTAAATGAAATAAAGAGCGCTAAGTGCAAACTTCAAAGAGTTCGCGCGGATTTCCACAAGGTACTCACTCCTTGAGATCGTGTAAAGATGTCACTGGAGGTTGTGGATTTGGTTCACAGTTGGGGATATTTGAAAAACTCGAATCTGCATGGCTGACAAGTAATGTCACAGGTTTATTTTCAAAACATTTGACATTATAAAACGTGTTACCTGTGATGACTTGAGTGCCGATCTGTCACCGAAGTCTCTGCGTTGAGGCGTTGTCTGTGCATGTGAAGTGGAATTGTACGTGCAAGAGCAAGTGTCCTTATTGCCATTTATCACACCTGTGTTCTTAAGAATGGCCAGTGTTGTTCTGGATTTATCGTGATTTATTTCACCATTCAAATGACACCATGAGGAGTCATGCTTTAATCATGAAGTGAATCCTCGTTATAATGCCCCTCTCTCATACATAATAAGGAAAAAACGTTATAACGTAGTTGTGGTTGTCTTCGGGGTGTGTGTGTGTGTGTGTGTGTGTGTGTGTGGGTGGGGGGGGGGGGGGGGGGGGGAGTTCAATAGGTGTTGTTGGGGGGGGGGGGGGGGATTTCAATGGGTGTTGATAGTGATGTCAAAGACTTTGCTCGAAATACCTCAAGAATTGAATGTCGCAGTCTGACATGCACTCCAAGAAATGTAATTACTTGCCGTGGTGTATGACGGAGTAGAAAGGTCGATGAGAATTGATACTCTCCATCTGTGAAATGGGAACGGTTGTATTGTCATTTGCAAATGAAAGAGTAGATTGTTGAATCTTCATCAAAGGATGAAGTAAAAACATGACATGACAATAACATAAATCTTGCTATATCTCGTTCACGCGGGATTATAAAAAAGTCTAGTTTATGATTTTAGCCAAATAGGATTCTCGTAAGACAAACGATATTGCCTTTCTTTTTATCAGCGCCCCTCGGTCAAATGTTTCCAGTAGAGTGAACATGCTTAGATCCTAACGATATACCACGGAGACTGTCTATAATGTGTACGTGTATGGAGCAGACAAACCTGTGATCGATGATGTGAGCACCGATCAACACAAGCTGTGTACGATGTCAAACTACATGATCCAGCTTTAACTCGGTCTTATAGATTGTCCTTCCCAACAGTCACAGGGGTCAATTGTCCCCCATGTCTACACCTTAAAGGGGAGCTAAGCGCTGGCTTCTGGGAGTCCACTTAAACTTGTTTGTCTACAAGCTGATATTGTATGACGTATATTTAGCTGTTAATGATTCTAAAATTACACGGAGACAATGTTTCACACAAGGTATCATTCACAGTGTGCAGAACTAAGTGAGTGAGTGAGTATGACTTTTACGCCGCTATTAGTAGTATTCCAGCAATTTCACGGCGGGGGACATCGGAAATGGGCTTCACACATTCTATCAATGTGGGGAATCGAACCCGGGCCCTCGGTGTGACGAGCAATGGTTAAAACCAGTAGGCTACCCCCCCACACACACACACACACACACCCCACCCCTTCCTTTTTGAAGCCAATCATACGGCATCTTATTCCTGTTCAGAAAGGAGGACTCCCCATACATCAGAGACCAACGCAGACCGTATCAATACTATATAATGCACTGTTGACTTACATGTTCTTCACATCACCTTCAGCTATAGGCTACATCAATGTGTTTCGTGGGAACCAGATGGTGTATATTCACACGTATTATCTCTTTAAAATATCTGTATCTGAATGAACAGGCAGCTATACCTTTGGGACACAAATGATAAACGTAAGTACACACACATAAAGATACATTTATATAAACAGGCTATTTGTCATCATAAAATATCCAAACCAACAAAATCCTCAAAGATTACAAAATCAAGACGAAAACATGAAACCAACTTTGCCTCATGCCCTACCCTGTTGCAGTACTGTTATCTAGAATCTTTGGCCATCAGGAAGCGGTGGAACGATGGCATGAACAGCTGCGCAACATGCTTACCATTGGTTCCACACTTTACCATTATTTACAAGAGAGAAGAAGGACTTCGCCATCTGGCATACTAACATTAACACACTCTTTGGCCCTGTTCCAAACGTTGGTGAAGAATGTCCACTAGAGGGTCAAGTGGTTCTTGATGATAGCCAGATACCGCAGGGTGGCATCAGAAATAAACAGAACGCTCGATATTGCACGGACCATGCTAGACACCAAACATTGACGGTTACAGGGCGTTTTGTTAATAGTACTGTAGAGGAATACCCCTCTGATAGTAAATGTGTCTGATAAGGTCATGCGTACAAGTTAAATTCAGTCTTAAAGTTTAAAGTAATCATAATCAGTTTGATAGTCAGTTACATGTGCAATGAACACGTACAGTTAGTTACCTGCTATTGCAGTTTCCCTGTGAGCTTTGTCTTCATGTCACGTGTATTTAGAAGAGTTATTGCTCCAATTATGAATCGTCGACGGTGTACGAAGGCGTCATCTCATCTGTTCACTGACGACGAATAGGCGTCTAAACTAAGTAAACACACAAAACGAGCAGTGAAACGTCTGTTGATTTATATTAATGTACAAAAAAGCACCTTTACATCGGACGATATTGTTCCGGGTTACCGCAACGGTTATTGGAAGATTAGAAAACGAGCTTGATAGTTATCTATGGTTTGATAGTTTAAGTAACAGTATGAACGTGCTACTACCTTCGTTGCAAAGTTTCACAATTACCTAATAGGGCTGTCTAACATTAAACCCCGAGGTCTCTGTATGACGATACAATCAACTGCTTCTATAGGTGAGACTATGTCTTAGGCGTGGTAAAATCCCTTCTCTTCACGATGTAGGATATAACACCATGTCCATGGCAGTAAATGAATCAGATCACAGCAGGGGTGAACGAGAAGACTCTAATGTTTTACACTTTCAGGCAACACATGGACATCTATGGATGTCAGCAATCACCTTACTGAGCCAAGGCTCTTTAAACTAGTTCCACATAAACTGTCAGATTCTCTCCCCATCATGACAGTGTATGTATGTGAGTAAGAACAGAGTGTGGTCCGTCAGGCGCACTCACTCACATGGACACTTAACTGAGATAAGGATTATCATGGAGTTTTTACAACCTGTTTCCGACGTGTATGGCTGGTTGTATTTGTTGAGAAGCAATATGTATGGCTATTGTTAGGTCACACTTGCGTTACCGCGGTAATCACAAAGTGCTGGTTATTCCGATATCATCATCGTTTTATCATTGTTCATTTATATTTTTCCCGGGGAAAGCTTAGCCCAGAGGTCTACGTAGTCACCGCTTGCTCGGCAGAGTTGCGTATCATAGCTTTACCAGGATCCGCTATTCGTGTGTTCGAATCGTGGCCATGAGGTTTAATCAAAGTCATCAATGTCTACAAACTATGCCGTGATATACCCGAACTATACTGTACAATGCGGCGTCAAACCCATCTTACTCACTAACTCGTATGTTTGCGACCGAACCCCAAGACTACTCCAGTTCACCTCTGTTGACTAGAAATCTGCGTATTCATTCGTCACACATGAAACTTCGGTTCCATTCCGGGCATGGTCGAGTCCATCTGAGTAAACAAGCCTAAACAAGCACGAAGCATTTCATAGTGTCGAGCATTATTTGTCGTTAAGCACGAGTGTGGTATGACTTTCACATTTACTATCTGACTTGATATCATGGCAAACATAAATAGATAGCAGTTGAATCGACCTTTTAAACTTGTTTAAACATTTCACCTTGTGTAACCTGGTTTTACCTTACAACAAGATATATCAGATGAAGCTACCAAGGGAAGCGTGAAAGGTTGTCTGTGGCACAGTATAATGACGCGTATTTGTGTGAGTATTTAAAAACATTTTAGCGATAATGTAAGTGTCTGTAAGTTGACATTGTGTATTTATAATGGAATTTAACATTTGTGTTTTTATACTTTTACAGCCTCGCGAGTTAAATGTCAATATTGACTATTGTTGAGGGTACAAGGGCGTGAGATTCAACCATCCACCAATTCTCGGGGTGGGAAAAGACACTGTGAAATGCCTGAATGCTAAAAGTCTGCACAGTGAACCCCTGTTACTCCGGACCTGCGATGAAACTCATCTTTCTCAACCCGGTTGTATCACACCTCTAGTAACCCATGGACATCAAATTCCGTGGTACCTAAGTTTAAAATACACCATCTTCACATTAGCAAACTAGGAATGTAACAGGGGGTTAGGAATAATCGGTCATCAGTTTGTGTGTTTCTTGTTTGTTTGTTTGTTTGTTTGCTTGTTTAACGCAACATTCAACAATATTCCAGCTGTATGACGATAAATAGTCGAGTTTTGACCAGAAAATCCAGTGACTGACATCATGAGCATCGATCTACGCGATTTGGATACGATGACAAGCTTCAATCAAGTCAGCGAGCCTGACCAACCGATCCAGCTCGTCGCATGTTACGACAAGGATGGGTTGCTGAAGACAAATTCCAACACGGATCTTCATGGGGCAACCTGTCATTCACCAAACTTGCCTGATATGTGCTAGTACGTTTGCAGGAATGCAGGAACCGTAATTTGTTTCTTAGATTACTATTATTTCTAATAACTCCTTGATAATAATAATAATAATAATAATAATAATAATAATTTTTAAAAAATAATAATTTTTAAAAAATAATAATTTTTTTTTAATAATAATACAGTCTCAGACATATCCAGGCCAACAAACCTGATCTTGTCCTTTTTGATAAATCCAATGAATTAATTTATATAACTAAATTTCCAGTCCCTTTTGACACTAATGTGATTGACAAGATTGAGGAAAAATATGGCAAATATGCCTTAGGTTTGGTACCTCACAATCTGTTTACTAACATTGGGAGAGTACCCGGGTTTGCTACCAGGAATACAGCCCTTCTGACAATCTGGGTAATGCAGAAGGCAGCAGTGTTGGGGAGTCTTCACATTCTCCGATAAGATCTGGGTGGGTTTGACTAAGGGGCAAGGACCCTGAGCTGATGATGAGCCTAACCAGCCTGACTGTGCCAGGATCACCTAACCCCTCTTTGCTGAGTTTTTTAAAATTTTAATCTGTAAATAATGCTAATGCCAGCATTGAGTACCTCCTACTAGATCTACAAGAGACACCAGGTACTACTGACTTCTAGTTATCAGATGACAGAAAGCAGGAAGTCTTTATTTGCGACCAGGAAATTGTAGGGAAAGTACATGGGAATACTCTATGTTAATGAGACATTATGGGTACTTTACATTTAAAGTATCAATAGTTAATGCCAGTTACTTGATCACCGCGTGCAGTCCATTTTCATGCTGCCATGAACTATTGAACCATGTGTCTTTAATGTACCAATCAGTTGATCAAGACTTGATGCAAACGATTCCTGATCGCTTGTTATAATATAGGTAATTATTAAAATTGAGAATTCATCAAGTCGGAATATTTTTACACCAGACGAATTAAGATGGAAGAACTAGTTTTAACTGTTTCCAGAAATAGATATTAATCATTTGTGAATGATATCCTTGTTCTCTTTTTGTTGTCCATGCCTGAAGGGTACTGAATAAAGTGATCGTTATTATCATTGCGCTATCTTTTCCGTACGTATATCTGCTACCTTGCTTGCAATACGTTTCGCATAAGGATAGATGAAATAATTTGTGTTCATAGCAACGAAAATGAAAAAAAAAATCCATATCAGCAGTTATCCTTATTTTAAACTGCCGGTAGCTTCTGATTGCTGCAATTAAAACGTGTTCAGCTCGAGACATGTAAAGCTTTTCTCAATCTATTCGCTGTGAAATTTTATTTTTAAAATGACCCCACTGCGTGACAGTCGGTGGCTGCGTCATTACGCCAACAGCACATGCCTATTGAAACTGAACGCAGGAAATTATTTTGAAGAAGAATTCTACATCCAAACCAAAATAAGCAATGCCAGGATGCCTGTTACCCGAAGCCTGTAGTTCCGATTTCCGGTGTAGGTTGAAATGTACTCGCTTTGCCGAAATGTCTTGTCTTTAGGCCAAATTAGTGTTATTTTCGCCCGAGTTCATGAAAGTTATCACGCTTTAACTGTGTGTGTTTTATTCGAGCAAATAACGTCGCTGTTCAGCTTCCACACGCCTGCCCAGGTTATAAAAGGCACAGTCAAGATGATGAATGATTACACTTGCAGGAAGAGTGTATGGGGAAAGGTTTGTAATTGTTAGCGGATTGTCTGACGCATGTAGTACCACCCCTCTCTTCCCCGCTACCACAACATACATACACGTACTCAGATGAAGATGTCACCACCCCACCCACCTAACCCTCGTATACGCAGTTTGATGAATTTCAACATCTTACAGATTGGATCATTTCAATCTTAACATATCCAGGAATGGATCACATGCATCTTAACATGCATGTCAAGGATTGGATCATATGCATCTTTACATGTCCAGGAATGGGTCGTATGCATCGACGTTACAATGAAGAGTATGCATCTGAACATATTAAGGCAATGACATCTTTCAAAGAAAAATTCATCTTGTGAAGTGTGGGCACGTTGATTATACATAGACGAGGGCAACATTTGAATGCGACCATGTAAAACCATTATGACGCCAAATCAAGCTATTGGTGTTGCAGTTGATTCTCAGCCAGGAATTCACTGGCCATTCCGAGGGTGTAAAACTGACGCAGCTATAGGCCAGTATGCAAAACTAGGGAGAAATTATATATCTGAGAATGCCTGAATTGTAAGTTGGAGAAATCCCTACAGTCTGTTTGTTCCGGAAGTAAAATCGGTACTTGCCGACTCTACCTCCGGAGTCAACAGATTCTCATAATTTTTCAATTACAGAATCAATCCGTGCTAGTCATGCGCGTGTTCAGTTGTAAGGATATTCTACGAAGCGATGACTTATCATCACTGATGAAAGTCTCTTCGAATCAGTTTTAGGGTTCAATGATATAAAAGTACTCAATCATGTGACAGTGTTTAAGTCAGTATCAGTTTAAGTCCAGTTTGCCCTGTCGTCGTCGAAGGCAAATAAATCTCGTATCGCCTTTTGCCAGCACGATCAACCTGCTTCTTTGGATAACATTGCTTCATCTATATAAGAGCATCTGACCCCAACATAACTTCATCTGTATACGAGCGTCTGACGCCAACATTGCTTCATCTGTATACGAACGTCTTTCTCAACCATTGCTTCATCTGTATGCGAACGTCTGACGCTAACATTGCTTCATCTGTATACGAATGTCTGACGCCAACATTGCTTCATCTGTAAACGGACGTCTGGCGCCAACATTGCTTAATCTGTATACGAACGTCTGACGCCAACATTGCTTCATCTGTATACGAACGTCTGACACCAACATTGCTTCATCTGTATAAGAGCGTCTGACACTAACATTGCTTCATCTGTATATAAACGTCCTAGGCCAACATTGCTTCATCTGTATACGAGCGTCTGGCTCCAACATTGCTTCATCTGTATACGAGCGTCTGACGCAAGCATTGCTTCATCTGTTTACGAACGTCTGGCACCAACATTGCTTCATCTGTATACGAACGCCTGACGCCATCATTTCTTCATCTGTATACGAACGTCTGACGCCAACATTGCTTCATCTGTATACGAACGTCTGACGCTAACTTTGCTTCATCTGTATACGAACGTCTGACGCCAACATTGCTTCATCTGTATACGAGCGTCTGACGCCAACATTGCTTCATCTGTATACGAACGTCTGACGCCAACATTGTTTCATCTGTATACGAGCGTCTGACGCAAGCATTGCTTCATCTGTATACGAATGTCTGACGCCAACATTGCTTCATCTGTATACAAACGTCTGACGCCAACATTGTTTCATCTGTATACGAACGTCTGACGCCAACATTGCTTCATCTGTATACGAGCGTCTGACGCCAGCATTGCTTCATCTGTATACGAG